AATCCCTAATTTTTGCCTTGATTCATCCAGTATTGATATTGTTATCTCAGTATCGATACTTGAACCTTGAAATGGTTATTTGGGCTAAAAAACCCAAAAATCACCATAAAGGTCATAGTTTGGTTCCTAATCATGTGCTAAAGCTTTAGGGAGTTAACTAGAATCTTAAAGTGTCATAAAAACGTCTTTTTAACCTCTACAACATAATATGATCATGATATCAAATATAAACCCTAAAATGCTTAAATACTTAAATCTTAGCAAATTCTTGAAATTTATGAAAACTTAATACTCCAAAGGATTAGAAATACACTACCTTGGTTTTAGAAACCCGAAACGAAGCTTCTTTAGCAAGCAAACACTCTCCATCAAGACTTGGGTTATAAAACCCTCAATTTCTCTTCCAAAATTAATACTCAAGGATTTAATCCTTAAAATACCGCTGCTGAAGGGGTTATAAACTGATTGGAAATATGAAAAAGGCTTAAAATCTTACCTTTGGTTTTAACCCTAGGAAAGGAAGAATAAGAAGAAGAAGAAAGATGGTGGGAAAAAGAGTATGAAAGAAATAAATAAGCTCATCTTTTATAAAAATGAGAAAATTACACGATTGATCCTTCTCTATTTTCCAAAATTTAAAAACTCTATTTTTGACTAATTGGTCTCCGAACTGAATCCAATTAAACGCAACGACTTAAAATATGAATTTTACGAGGTGCACTTACCTCTCAGTTAAACTTGAAACTACTAACCTAGAATTTGGGGTGTTACATATCTCCCTTAGAAACGGTCAACCAAAAAACAGCACCAAACACACTAAGCAGACCCCAAAGATGGACACCTTGATTCAACATCAACAAGTGCCAGGCGGCATAGGGGTTATAAACTCCTCATAGCGGCAGAGAACTTGAGAACCAAGTCTAAAGTACTACAGCCATAAAAATACCCATGAACAAGCACCACACCTGAGCAGCAAGAAGAGGAAGTTTCCCTAATAAACATTCAAATAGAGAGCTGTGCCATCCAAAATAAGCATACCCCAGCATGGACATCACGATTCAGCGCCAACAACCAAAAGGTAACATTAAGGATTCAATCTTGTCTGCAGCAACAGTCATAAGATCAAGTCCACAGCAATAACACCGCAGAATTGAATTATCAAGCCCTAATACAACCAACCGGAAAACATTTGAGAGGGCTACCAAAATCTACTCCTGAATAGGAATCAGACTTCTACACTAGGAAACTAATACACAGAGGGGATCAAAAGCTTCATACGAACCTCAAACTAAGACACTGCACAAACTTCCAGTAAGCAAATTAACGAACAACATCAACTTTGGACCCTTCAAAAATAACAAAAATAACAGCACGATCTATAAGAAACACGACCCCCAACCAACTACATAAAGAAAATCAACCACCCTCGGCACCAGACGCCAAAAGACATTGGAGCAATCAATAATTGGCTATAATGAATCTAACAAATTTTAACACTGAGGATCACCAGGACCATAATCTGCTTGTTTTGACTGACTTGGGACTCCAGATGAAATTTGCAATCAGCTTGTTTAACTTTGAAACAACCAAACCAAGCATCTTAAACAAAAGATATAAATCGGTAAATTAACTAGAACAGATTTAACAAAGCTAAGACGACCCTTTCCACCCATCAAGTCTATCAATAATCGACTTCCACATATCTGTAGAGTTCCTTCTCTGGCCCAATGGAAGGCCAAGATAAGTAGTTGGGAAGCAATCCCAGCCAAGAAGATTGCTTCTGCCCACTCCGACAATGATCTCTCAGAAATATTAATCCCATATAACTTTGATTTCTTCATGTTAAGCTTTAAACCGGAGGCGACTTCAAACAACTTCAGAATTATCTTTGCATTTTTAATTGACTCTAAGTTGCCTTCAGAGAAAAGACGCGCAAATTACCTGAACCAACCGAGACAGTCTTTAATAACCCGCTTTCAACTACTTTGCCCAACACAGCACTCACAGCTTCTTCAATAGGGATGGACCTAGAAGAGAGCGAGAGGGAAGGTCGCCTCCTAAAAATTTAAAATTACTATATATTTTAAAATTTTTGTATATTTTATATTGAAAATTTATTATCGCTCTAAAATTTTATAAGTTTAAATTCGTCTATGAAATTTTATAAGTTTAAGTTCACCTCTCCTAACATGCTTGAATCGATTCGAAGGTTTGCAATTAACCAGAACTGCGAAGAACAAAGTCGAATACATGCTTGAATCTACTTCCTCCATCTCTTTCCAAACCCCATCTTTCTCAATTCAAAATCCAAAAACCCCCGGTACATCGAATCATAAACCTTCTTGAAATCGACTTTGAACACAACTGCTACCTTTTTTCCTTCTTCTAATATTATCAATGATTTCATTTACGACGAGGGAATAGTCTGCAATTTGTTTGTCAGCAGTAAAAGCAAATTGACATTCACTAACTATTTCATGCATACACCCAACAAGCCTCCTAGATAACACCCGAGCCAATATTTTATACATACTTCCCACATGAGAAATAGGATGAAAATCGTCAAGGTATTCCGGGGCAAATGTCTTTGGGATCAGCGTGATAAAGGACTGGTTGAAGTCCTTAATATTCAGTTTCCCACTAGAAGATCACTTTGTCTTATTATTGTTATGAAAAATAACACAAAATCAAACCTGAGGAAATAAAATAAAAGAAATTAAACTTCTTAAAGATAAGATAAAAAATATATAAAAAGAAAAATACTTGTTTATTTTAATCTTTTGATCAAAAACAAGTTGAGGTCTGACACCACACATTTTTATTAACACAGATTTTCAACCACTCCTTTGATACTCGAGTTCGTTGATTATTTGTATTTAATGATACAATAACTAGATGATAAACTACAGTAGCACAGTTACAGAGATCACAGACTATCCTTGCCTTCGCCTATCACCGAAAAACTAATGGAGAAAAACTTTTCTACTTCTGAACTTGTGAGATTTAAACTTTTCTGATATTTTAACATGTTCTGAATTATGTTTAACCTAGTAGGTTAGCACAGTACATAGAGAATTTCCAAGAGAGATTTACTCCAACCAGATATATTTTAATATTCAAATTTAAATAGATAATAATATATTTTAATTTGAAATATTTAAAAGATATAAGTACATTTTACTATTCAAACATAAAAAGGTATTATTTTAATTTAAAATATTTAATAGGATATAATTATCCTTTAATATTCAAAGTTAAATAGATAATAAATACATTTTAATTTGACATATTTAAAAAGAAAAATTATACTACTAATATTCAAATTTAAAACATCTTTTAATTTATAATATTCAAATTAAAAATATGAATTTAACTTAAACATTAAATCCATCGATAAAATCCACTCTTTTTCCAACTAATTCCGTTAATAAACTCTAAAAGAGTAGTGTCATAACCATTTTTTTTAAAACAATTAAATATTATTTTAAAAAACGATTATGACTTTAATTTGGATAAATTAGGTGATTTTGGATTAATTGGAATTAGATTGAAAGGAGTCACCATCAACCTTTGGGTTAGGTAGGTCGAATAACCTAAAAACGTCTTTTAGAAACAATTTTAAGGAAAATCATTTTTATAAGACAAAAATTAGTCCGCGTAACCAAAGATTCGATTTAAAACGGGTTCGGGAGTCGGTTACGTGTGGGGAAGGATTAGCACCCCACAACGCCCAAAAACCGGTACTATATCGCTTACACGTTATCGTAAATGGTGAAAATTACAAATCGAATATAAAATTAAAAGATGATTCGTTTATTGAATTATAATTAATTTGCTTCGAATTAATTAATTACAAAAAAATTCTTTAACTTGAAAGGAAATATCGAAATTAGCAATCCCCCATTGGGAAAACTAATTCGACTATTTCTTATCAATAAAAAAATATTCCCTCATTGATAGATTGTAGAAAATACGAATCGAATATAAAATTGATAATCAACATTTGCATAAGTTAAATCACTATTTAGTAATATGCATCACATTGTTTAACTTGAAATAAAGGAATTAATTAGCAAAATAATATCGATTTTATTTCAAGTTCACATTTTGTTCAAATGTCGTATCGGATTGCAATGCTTCGATCAAGCAAGGCTTTACGATTCGACTATTTCAACCATGGATAAAATACAATGGAAATAAATGTAATTAAAAATAAAAAATAACATGATCACATTAAATAGAATTGAAAACATTATTTACATAATACACATAACCATAAAAATAAGTAAAATACATTCATACATAAATGACTAGCATAAAAAACATTACAAACTAAAATGAAATCATTAAAATACAAATATTTACAAGACTAAAATAAAATTAACATAAATTTGAAGGACTAAAATAATAAAAACATAAACTAAAGGGACTAAAATGGAAAAAAATAAAAACTTAGGGAGTAAAACAGTAAAACAGAAACCTAGAGGACTAAAATGTCAACAACATAAATTTACATGGCTAAAACAGCAAAATGGAAACTTAAAGGGTATAAATAGAAAATATAGACATTTGAAGGGTTCAAACTGAAAAATAGAAATTTTAATGACCTAATCAGAAAATATAAACATACCAGAGCCCTAATCTACATTTTAAACAAATTCAGACACTAGGAATGAAAATAACCCAACAATGAAACTTAAGACTAAAATGCAATGAATCACAAACATAAAGGCCGAATCATAATTAAACCCAAATATAACATAGGGACAAAAATGAAATAATAGCAAATATTATGACCAAAATCAAATAATAACCAGAATAGCATAGTAGGTAATAACAGGACTCAAACATAAGTAATGAAAAATAAAGGCTCGAAATCAAAGAAATATGAACTTCATTTAATGGTTGAAACATGTGATTACAAAGTATTGGGGACCTAACATGTAGTTAACCCATACGCACAATTGCAGATACACCTTTGGTAAAACGGTGTCGCATTGATGGCCAAATATAAGGCCAATATCAAGGCCTTAAACCGGCCATCTCCCTATTTCTCTCATTTTTCCATCTCTCTTAAAACAGAGAGCAAAACAATGCTCTCAACTTTTCCCCCTCTCAGCCTCTATCTCCGCCATGGAGAAAAAGTAGAGGAGCCACAACCGCCACACCCAGCAGCGATGGCTAGAGAAACCTTACCCGAGACACCATCTGGCCTTTCCCCTCCCCTCTCTTCGACAACCAGTTCTTTAATACCCACACAGAAACCAAAAACCCCTCCTATTCAAACCCTAAATCTAAGAAAGATGAAGGTTTTACCTTTGACGGTGGCTCCTTCTGACTCCGGTGAGGAAGCAACGAATAGATCTCTCCCTAAAGGTAAGATCTCACTTGGTTTTCTTCCTTTTCTGTTTTTATTTTTCCAAATGGTTTTTCTTTTCTGGTATTTGGTTCCGTATATTTTTTCATTTTGGGTAGATTTTTTTTTAAAAACCCTCTCCAGTTTTGAATGGAATCCGAATGATTGCATCTCACCCTTTTTATTTTTGCATGCGTGAGATGGCTTGATGATTTGATTTTCCTGCCATTTGATGGACTTGCCTTGAAACTGCTACCGATGGGATTACATTGAGATAGCATTTGTACTTGATTTCATTATTTTTATTTTGCTTGGTTGTTTGATATGATTTCGGGTCACTGTTGATGCAGATTTGTCATTGGCAGCGTGGACAGGCGGCGGCAGCAGGGACTGGCGGCGACAATGGCTATCTCTAGGGTTTCAGAAACCCTACAGAGTTGACACTGGATCGGGTCGGATCCAGATTTTGGGCCGGTTCGGGTTCGGGCTTCAATCGGGTGCTGGGTTGGCTGCTTGGTCTAATGTTGTAGTTGGGTTTGTATCTGTTTTGGGCTGAGTAGGCTTCTAATTTGGGCCTCGGGATTGGCCTGCAAAAAATGTAATAAAATATATTAATAATAATAATTAAATAAACGTAATAATAATAATAATAGATTAAAATTAAATAATAAAAAGAAAGATCCGGACAAAAATGGGTGTCTACAAGTAGTTCACAAAGCTTAAACTTTCTTGAAAAGCTGTTCACAAACATATCCTACTTTTGTTTCTATATCCAAATGCACTATTAGCTACCTCGTTTACAAATTCCTCAATGAATTGCCATACTCCAATAAAGTAAATGCATTCCCTTACTAGAAAAATACTCCAATATAGGATACCTCGTTTACTATTATCTCGTCTTCCTCCCTTTTCAAGCTTTAACTAAATCATTGTTTAAGAATTTTTCATCCAATCACATTCTTCTTCAAAGATGAGGCAATTTCTTCATTTTCCTATATTAAATCCTTGTGATTTTGTTTTTAGATTGATTCTTAATCATACAGTTGACATTTTAATTTTTAAATGGGAATTTTTTGCAAAAATCACAAAAAAGAAAATGGTGAAACCTAATTTTAAAAGTTAAATTTTAATTTCTATATAATTAGTAGTATGTTTCTATTATATTTGAAGATATTTGGATTTTTATAACAAATTAACAACAAATTTCTAAAAGAATCAATAAGATCAAGAGTGTGTATAATGCAATCTTTTAGGAAATATCTGAAAAGTAAGATTTTCGAGTTTCAAGTTGATTTAAATGTTTAGAATGATGTTGTTTCGAGTTGTTTTAAATCAATTCTAAGCAATAGGTTTAGGTTTGTAATGATTTGGAAAGATTTTGCCGATTCTAGGTAATTTTACTGTTCTAAGACTAAAATTAATGAAATTTGGAAATCATTATGTTTTCAGATATGCCATTGTTGTTCTTGGTGTGCTATTGATGTTTGAATATCGTGGGGTGCAGGAGTGAAACTGAGAATTTATTATAGCGGTTTTAAAATATTTTTTATTTTTCATAAATATAATTTTTTATTTGAGGAGATATGAATTTTTTTTCTCTATTTATTTTTTAATATATATATTATTTTAATATTAATACCATGGTGTGGTGATAATAATGTTAGAATATTTTAAAGCTTGTCAGAGGATCAAAGGAAGAACAGATATATTAAAGTGAAAGATAAAAAGGTGATTTAAGTGCTTCGAAAGGTTTCAGTGAATATTTAAAATTATTATGAGTTTGTACAATTCATTGTGTTATTTAGTAATATGCTAATTCTCATTTCTAATTTCTCTGATAAGTGTTTCCCATCTTTCTATCTTATTTGATTTTTTTTAATTAATCACTGATATCTGATCTATTGATCGATTAATCCAGTTCGGGTACTGCAGAGGTGAGGACGATCCTTTCAACCTAGTTTGCTTCATTCGCAAATGTCAGGATTCAAACCTCTGACATTGCTTAAGAGACCTAGTGTCTCATCCTATTAAACCAACTGATTGCTGATATTTGATTACTTTTTGATACACATAATATGACATGCGTATACTGTATACTATAATTTCAAACAATTTAATAGGGGTTGAAAGTTAATAGTAAATAAATTAAGAAAATCATTGATAAATAATATTTTATAATCATTCAAAAATATTAAAAAATAATAACTTCAAAATAATGAATTATACATTTTAAAATAAACATGTATGTGAAAATGTGAATTATACATGCGAGAAGCAAACAAATCTTGGTCTGGGATCGTCATCTATAACAATGAAGGTCATATAATGGGGGCATGTAGACGAAGGGTGATCAGGATTACCTTTGTTTTTGCGGCAGAGGCGATGGCGGCCGTTCACGCAATACAACTGGTGAAGGATCTGGAGTTTCAAAGGGTTATCTTAGAGGGGGATGCAAGATCAGTGATCCAAAAACTCTCATCGGAGGCTTTGGACAGGTTGGAGATAAGTGCATTTACGTGGGAAGCTCGGAGGTGTGTTGAAAGACTGACGGAGTACAGCTTCCGTTTTGTTCCCCGCTCAGGCAATCAAGCATCTCATCTTTTGGCCAATGATTCGTCTGTGGGTTCAGTGGATCTCTATTTGGGTGGAAGAAGCTCCTCGTTGGGTCATACACCAATTGACGATGGACAGACGATGTGATTACTAGGTTTCATGGGGGTAGCGACGGTTAAGACGCTTTGGAAGAAGCTCCTCGTTGGGTCATACACCAATCGACGATGGACAGACGATGTGATTACTAGGTTTCATGGGGTAGCGACGGTTAAGACGCTTTGGAAGAAGCTCCTCGTTGGGTCATACACCAATCGACGATGGACAGACGATGTGATTACTAGGTTTCATGGGGGTAGCGACGGTTAAGACGCTTTGGAAGAAGCTCCTCGTTGGGTCATACACCAATCGACGATGGACAGACGATGTGATTACTAGGTTTCATGGGGGTAGCGACGGTTAAGACGCTTTGGAAGAAGCTCCTCGTTGGGTCATACACCAATCGACGATGGACAGACGATGTGATTACTAGGTTTCATGGGGTAGCGACGGTTAAGACGCTTTTGAAGAAGCTCCTCGTTGGGTCATACACCAATCGACGATGGACAGACGATGTGATTACTAGGTTTCATGGGGGTAGCGACGGTTAAGACGCTTTTGAAGAAGCTCCTCGTTGGGTCATACACCAATCGACGATGGACAGACGATGTGATTACTAGGTTTCATGGGGGTAGCGACGGTTAAGACGCTGGTTGGAAGAAGCTCCTCGTTGGGTCATACACCAATCGATATATATATATATATATATATATATATATTATTCTCTTTTCAATAAAGGCGATCTTTTTGTTCAATTTTTTATTTAATATATTATGTGCATCTTAAAATTATATTATGATTTTAAATATTTATTTATTTTTAAAAAATCTAATAGTATTTTTATTTTTAATATAATTTTAATATTTATTTTTTATAATTTTTTAATATTTAAAGTTTTAAATAAATTTTCATTTTTTCTTAAGCCTTCTAATTTTTCAAAACAAATTATTAAACTTTATATAATTTTTATAAAAAAAATCAACTAAACCTTTAAATTTTTTAAAAGATCAATTAATTCCTTTTATCATATAATTATTTACACGTAAACGGTCATATAAACATTATGAATTGATATATCAATATTATTAATTGTTACGTCAATATCAAAACGATTAATTATGATTTTCGCCAGTCAAAGTATCACAATATTTTTTTTCACAATTTCAGAATCAAAATAGATGCAAAATAAATTTAGGATCACGATTTTTCTTTATAAAAATAAGATGACCTATAAACCTTGTTTTATTTTTTGGTAATCTATAAGATCTATCACTTATATTTCAATTTTGTTCTTTTCGACCATCAATTTAAAAAGAAAATAATATTTTAATTACTTATGTTACTAATTTGTTACATATTAATCATTGAATCATTAGTTTTCATTTTTCTAATAATATAATAAATTAAAATAATTAACGTTTAATCTAAATCTTCAACTTTTAAAATATTAATTTTCATCCTATATTTTTGAGAGAGAAATTACTCTCTCAATTAACTTTCTCCAAAAAGGAACAAGTATCTTCTCTAATTTAAGTCATAGAATTATTGCGGCCGCCTCCTTCAATCGAAATCCATATAATCTCCGATATCTCTATGAAATCCAAAATGTAAAGATATGTTAGATTTGTCTAGAAATTAAGTTGACAAGTTGGAAATTTTATCTTGGTTGGTGGTCAAGTTATTGGAAATTTCATCTTGGTTGGTGGCCAAACTTTGAACATGTGAATTTCATATTTGGTGGCTAACTTGTACACATTAGAAAATTCTTTGGTAGGTGGCCAAACTTTGAACATGTTGTTCTTAAAACTCAACTATAAATAAGCCTAAGTATTTCAATTAGAAATCATCCCAAAAACAAGTTCTCTCTTCCTCTTGTATTCTTCATTCTCCCACTTTGGGAATTCTAAAGAATTCCATTTGTTGTAATATTGGCGATATAGTGAAGTTATCATCCGGTGTGGTGCCCGAGGAGTAGACGATATTCTCGTCGAACCTCATAAATTTGGTGTGTTCTCTCCTTTATTGTTTTTATTCGGTTCTTTTCCATTGCATTTCAATATTCAATAGTTTGACATGTTTATCCGCTGTGCAATCTTTGGTGGTTTTAATCTTGACATTTTAGGTCAATTTTAAAACTACGTTCGTGTGGGAAATAACCCGTTTTCCCCAACAATTGGCATCAGAGCTTCGGTTAAGGTTATCCTGGTGGTTCTGTTACTAAAAAGATACAGTTCGTGATATTGAATATTGTTCGTTAGAATTAAAATTCCAAAATACGGATCAGTTGAGACATCAAGCTCTTCATCTGGACCGGTGAGGAGGGTGATGTCAAATACAAATTTCTCGGTGGAGTTGTTCGATGGATCCAGTCATTTTGGCATGTGGCAAGGCGAGGTGTTAGACGTTTTATTCCAACAAGGTCTAGACATCTCCATTGAGGAAGAAAAGCTCGAATATATGGAGGAGAAAGAATGGGGAACAATCAATCATTTGGCGTGCAGCACGATTCGATCTTGTCTTTCCAGGGAGCAGAAGTATGGCTACAAGAACGAGACTTCTGCAAGTAAGATGTGGAAAGCTTTGGAGGAAAAATTCCTGAAGAAAAGCTCTCAGAATCGTCTCCACATGAAGAAAAGATTGTTCAGATTTGATTATCAACCAGGCACCAGTATGAATGAACACATCACTGCGTTCAATGAGCTAGTGGAAGACTTATTGGGCATGAATGAAACCTTTAAAGATGAAGATTTGGCTTTGATGTTGTTGTCATCTCTTCCAGATGAATTTGAGCACCTTGAGACAACGTTACTTCTTGGTAAGGATAATGTTACCCTTAAAGATGTAACTGTTGCTTTGTATAGTTATGAACTCAGGAAGAAAACAAAAAAGGAGAGCAAGTACGAAGCAGCGGAGGCCATGGTGGCAAGAGGTCGCTCGAAAAGTCAAAAGCCAAAGTAGAGAGGGAGATCAAAGTCGAAGTCCAGACTGGGAAAAGATGAATGTGCCTTTTGTCATGAGAAAGGCCATTGGAAGAAAGATTGTCCAAAGCTGAAGAAGAAAGGAAAAGCTGCTCCATATGCATGTGTGTTGCAGAGCATGATGCACATGACTCTGACATATAATTGATTGCTTCATCAACAATATTCCATTCCGATGAGTGGATATTAGATTCGGGTTGCACCTATCATATGTCCCCTAATCGGGAGTGGTTCTCCGATTTAGTGGAACTAAATGCAGGAGTTGTTTATATGGGCAATGACAATGCCTGTAAAACTGTTGGGATAGGTTCAATTCGATTGAAGAATCAAGATGGATCAACCAGAGTTCTGATGGATGTCTGATACATGCCCAGTTTGAAGAAAAATCTCATCTCGTTGGGAGCCTTGGAATCTAAAGGCTCAGTAGTCACTATGAGAGATGGAGTTTTAAAAGTCACATATGGCGCACTTGTGATGATGAAGGGCATCAGGAAAAATAATTTGTATTACTACGAAGGTAGTACAATTATTGGAGCAGTTGCAGCAGCTTCCGGAGGTGATGATTTGGACGCAACCCAGTTGTGGCATATGCGGTTGGGACATGCTGGAGAGAAATCCTTGCAAATTCTGGCAAAGAAAGGAATATTGAAAGGTGAAAAGGCTTGCAAATTGAACTTTTGCGAGCATTGTGGTTCTGGGAAAGCAGAAGAGAGTAAAGTTTGGCACCACTATACATAATACAAAAGGTATTGTAGATTATATTCACTTAGATGTATGGGGTCCTTCAAAGGCATCGTCTTTGGGAGGAAACCATTATTTTGTAACTTTTGTAGATGACTTTTCCAGAAGAGTTGGGGTGTATCCGATGAAGTCTAAAGATGAA